ATTTTGTGTACGCCCTGTCAGCAGGCGTACGAAATTTTCCACCGTCACTTCATAACCACGATAATCCACTTCCACATCATCACCATACACATTTATGTGTTGTTTTGCATTATTATACACCTGACCAGGACGTGGATTGCGCGCATTGCAAGCCATATCATCAGCCAACATTAGTATGATTTGTGAGTCGGGTATGCCAAGTCGCTTCACCGAACGATAAATGCTCAGCACGTTAGCCACGTGCCGGTAGTTGAACCAAAAGCGTGATGCATCGACGAGCACCGCCCAGTTGTTGGTGTGTGTTGAACGTTGCACGGATTCCACATATTTTTCAGGTAGCTGGTTACCGGCCTACGGGTGCACCATTTTTACCGTTAGAAAAAATTTATTTTATTAAGTTAGCAGCACACTTACCTCCTGACTAGTTATTTGTGTTAACATGCATAGTAGCGTGCATACCAGCAACAGCATTTTGTATTTATTTTTGTAAACTACTTCGGTGTATTAATAATCAGCAACAAACAAATTGGAAAAATTAGAAAAATTTTTTGACAGAACTTGTACGCAGCTGTTTTGCCGCTCAGCTTTTTGTGAATAACGTAAAACATTGCACGTAAACGTTCTCGTTACAGAGTGTTACGATGCCTTCAAAGTTATAAATCTAGAACAGGGTGGATCACATAAATAGTTTAATAATTAATACCAAAGATCAATCAAAATAATTTAATAAAATATATATGTAAATGTGTATATAAATGTATATATAAATATGTGTTATTGTTCTTATCTGCTTTAGGCAAACCAACCGTAGCTCATATTAATTAAACTACTAATTAAATGTCGCCAGAAGACAAAATCACATCACAAAATAGCACATCATATGATTTTACATCACACCAATTCTGTTGGGCTAATCTTCTTGCAGATATACATATGTGACCTGGTGTACGAAAAGGGAGCTAACATGCGAAAACTAGTTTTCTGGGAAACAGCTGTTAAAAATAAACAACTAAAAAAATCAACTAAAAAGTGAAAATTGATTTTTTGACACCTAAGCGCCCTTTCCGTAGACCAGGTCACATATATGTATTTCAGTATGTATTTGCCTTTTGACAGTTCTTTATAGGCTTATATTATTATATACAGACATTTTTAAAATCGTGAATTTTATATATGGAACGGGACGTGATCAAAAAGTGCTCGTTTTTTTATATCTCTACGATTTTCGTAATGTGTCCCATCTGACGACTGTTCAGTTTAAGTAACAGAAACGCATACCGACTTATAATTCTGGTAATTCTAATCAGTGCTTTCAACTTTTTCCGCGCTTTCAGAATTATATGTATGTAGGTTTTCATGATTAATATGCACATATGATAAGTGTTCAAAAATTTATATTTTTAAATTATAGGTCATTTTGGGTGTGTTAATAAAATTAGTTAACAATTATTAATTAAACTTAAGCATAATTTTCTTTTAATTCTTTTAACGTTGGTGCCATTTATTTCACTGCCCTTTCGCTTCAGCAGCGCCCTCTAGACCGGACATTTTCAAATCTGGCAAAAACATAGCCCAAATATTTTCTTGGTAACTTTGTGTTTCATTGTTCAAACCGCCAACACAGTTCAAATATTGAGCGCAACACGCCGGGAAGTCAGCGTTTTCGTTCACATAATCGCCCCATTCGCAGCCATCTGGAGCGCCAATCGAAATGCAACTAAACATAAAAATGAAAACAGCAGCAAAAAAAAAAAAAAAATATATATATATAAACATATGTATATCCAAAACAACAGATTAGATAAACAGCTAAAATTAATCATCACACTTACCCAGTGATCGTGGCGTCACCGTTTTCATTGCCGCAATGTATTTCGGCGCACGTGTCCGGAGATTTCACTTTCTCGCCCGGCGCAATGACGATTGTTTCACTGATGGTGCATTTGCCGGCATGCGCTATAGAGGAAAATATATCAGCAATTACTGTGAAAAGTATAGTAGCTGCTAGACTCACAGGGATTATGATAATTTTCGAACGCCATCCATGCTGCCACCTGTTCCACACCACCGAGACAGAGTAGCGCCGTAAGAAACAGTAAAGTTTTCAACTGCCAGCACATTATGCGATCTATCACAAATTAAATGCAACGCTAATTACGCGCTGAAAGTGACTAAAAGCAGCCAGATTGAGCATAATTTAAAAAAGTCCAATTTGGCTCTCTCTACTGCCAAGAATGTGCAAATACAGCAAGACAAACAAGAAACATCAACCGCAATTGGTAAAAACTATATGTAGCTGTGCTGCATAGCGGGTTGTGAGTACTGTGAGTAATATAGCAGGGTTGCCAAGAAGTTAAAATAAAATACCTTGGAAATACCCTAGGTTATACAAATTACCGATATAAAATATTGATAAAGAATCGGGACTTTGGCGTACGACTTATAGATCGTGTGGACATACAGATCGAACATATAACATCCATGTGGCGCTATTCATTTACCAGAAATATTTAATTTTTTAATATTTAATTGATACAAAATTAGATCTTCGCTATTCGGCTTCTGAATCAAACAATAAAAATCAGTCATATTCTCAGTTCGCGTCTCTCTTTTGTTTTCTGAAAAATCTTAGATAATGCAGTTTATAATATTTCATGCCCATATTCAACAAATTCTCTATGGAGATAAATGGGACACAACTCTGTCTCAAGGACAGCACTAAGTATCTTGGGGTATTCATGAAGCGTGGAAGAAAAAGTGTGAAAAGCTAGCAATGCTTTATACCGGAAGCCAATGGAAATTGTTCAGAGGCTCGCTGCACAACGGGAGCTTTAAGAACAATTCCAACGGCGGCGCAATAAATTCGGCAAGACGGCTGCTGGCTGCAGGAGAATTTACATTTAGAGGTATGTTAGCTTCGCGAAGCACTCTAAAAATTTATACGGATGGCTCGAAAATGGACGATGGAGTTGGTGCGGAGATATACCGTCCATAGTTAGGCAATAACTTTGGCTTAAAAATACTATTATTCAAAGGTTGTGTGTTCTGTACAATATTAATATAAAATTCTTTGAAGCTATCTGGTATGCTGATTGGCAACCCTATCTAGAGAGAGTGTGTTTGTGTGATGGAGCCGGTGAGCAGATGAGTCAAAGCGCTGCCAGCGCCAATGAAAAAGATGAGAAGCGTGGGCGGGCAGTTATTTTCAATAATATTATATTATTTACATTTTATATGTTTATATGGATTTTTGAAAAATTTTTTTTATTACTTTTACGACTTATGGCAAAGTGAAATAGAAGAATTAAATTTTTATTGCAAACTTCTTCAAAATTTCCTTGAGGAATAGCGAAATAGGACCAGACGTAAAGTTTTCGCAATTTCGTCCCCAAAAATTGAACGTTGATGATTTTGACAAACCTTCTTGTCAGAATTCGGTGAAATCGACGCGTACGATCTTTATTTCAAACAAGACAGCGCATCACCTCATGTCTTAGATGCTGTTAGACAAGCACAGATTGCTTGCATAGTTTGGCGACTCGTTAATTTCGCGAAATGGTCCAGTCAAATGGGTGCCAAGATCATAAGATTTAAGGCTTCTAGATTATTTTTTCTAGGGGAATTTTAACTCAAAGTAACGTCCAAGGACTTCAAAGCGCACTATAACAGAAATTTCAGCCAAAATGCTGCACCGGGTGATCGAAAATTAGCGTAAACGGGGTGAGATATGCCAAAGGAGCCGTGGTGACCATTGGCCGACATTTTGTTCAAATCATAAATGGCATAAAATTATTTACATAAAAAAAGCCACTTTGAGCAAATTTACATCTCTTTTAGGCGGGTCTAAAATTTTTCAGAAAAAAATTAGCTTTTTTTCCAAAATTTATTAAAATTATTTTCAAATTAAAAATACAGCTTTCAAGTCAAGTTTTTCAATAACATTTTTCTACAGAGCGCGTGTTAATCGTGGCAAGCTGTCTTGTTATTTCTGTTCAATGTGGTTTGGCATTTCATCTTGGAAAGACTTAAGCTTAAATAACTTTACAAATCGTTCAACTTTACTCACTAAGAGCATACTTCTCGCAACACTGGGTTTTGAGACCCAGAGTTCATTATTGGATGATATTCGACCAAATAGAACACACCCAGCATGCAGTGAAGAAAATATAGCAGCCGTATCTGAGAATCTAATTGAATTACAGTTTGGGCAAGTACTGAAGCCGCCCGATCTTTCCAAGCGACCTTGCTTCATTCTATGGGCTCATGCAAAGTTCCAAGCAGATCCGTCGTTTTCGAGCCAAATTTTGTTGAGCGATCAGGCCCATCGTCATCGAAAATTGGACTGAACGGATGGACCATCGTAGACGCAGCCGCGGCCAACATTTCGAATGATAACAAACATTTCCGATTAAATTTGAAGTTTCTGTGTTTTTTTTTTTTTTTTTTTTTTTTTTTTTTTTTTTTTTTTTTTTTTTTTTTTATTAGGACACCTTGAAATGGATCAGCCTTTACTTACTTCAACAATAAAAGTTATCAATATGCATTTTGTATTATTTTTAAATTAAAAAAACATTAAAACATTCTATAAATTATTACAAATTCTGATAGGAATAATGAGAAATAAGAATAGACCACCGAAAGATCTCAAAATTTAAATATGAACATTTTGCCAGAAAGAAAACCTTGAATTTGAAATGAACTCGCTTGTATGGAAACACAAAATTATATACCTACATATATATAAATGTCAACGTTGAAAGTTAAATCATATATTTTGCCAGCACTGATAAGTAGCTGTCACCAGCTAATCGCATTCGCACGGTTAACGCACTCTCGCTTTTCGGAAAGTAATTCAGAGAGCATTCAGCCTACTGGCCTACTTTCTCTTACTTAAAGTCATTATTAGAATTGACTTTTGTTTTAAGATAAGGTTTATATATAGTCTCATTTAAAAGTATATATACAGAATATATAAAATATATAGACGCCGTTATGTTTAAATGATCTGCATTCGATCTGTGCAGCTTAGTCGCTGAAATTGCTTGTAAGATAGCGCACACGCAATAAAAAATGCATTTCGGCAACTTTTGTCTATATATAGGACTGTTATGTCTTGCTGCTGGACCGCTCGCGGAGGCCTGGGTGGCACGCGCTAATTATCACAGCGATGGTGTGTACAATTAGAATTTAAAACATTATAAATCTAGTAATTATAAATTTGGTATATAATTTTTATTTAACCATTTTACAAAACATACAGCACATCCTGGCAAATGCGTGGTGAGTGATACGCTCATTCTCTCCCCCGGTGAGAAAGCGAAATCGCCCAACTCTTGTTCGGAAATTCATTGTGGCAGTGAGCAAGGCCATGCCACTATTTTTGGGTAGGTTCAAGAACGTTTTCAAATCCAAGAAAAAAAAAAGTGAAGATGCTTTTTCTGAAAGTATTTTTTTTACGAAAATAACTGGTATAAGTGATATAAATCAGCATAACTGAATCAAAATAGACAATATTTGATTTAATTGATCAAATAAGCAACTCGTATAAATCAATTAGACTCTCATATTACACAGAAAACGAAAAGTTAAAAATGTTGAGAGTAAATTGAATATCAAATATAGTGAATCGAAAAACAAAATGGTATAAATACGAACTGGTACAAATACAAACCGGTATAAATATAAAGTGGTTCAAATACAAACTGGTACAAATACAAACTGGTATAAACACAAACTGGTATAAATTCAAACTGCTATAAATTAAAATTCGTGTAAATACAAACTGGTATAAATTCACACTGGTACAAATTCAAAGTGGTATAAATATAAACTAGTCTAAATAAAACTGGTATAAACACCTCTGGGTGGCTTAGAAAAATTTAGAGATTTTTTCGATTTGCCAAAAAGGAGAGATTAACGAAACGAACAAGAAACTGGAATAAATATCAGCGGAAAAAAATAAAAATTGAAAAAACGAGCAATTGGTGTAAGCTACATATACTGGCATAAGCAAATATAGACAGAATAGAATACCACTAATATATACACCGTCTCCACACACGCTCTTACTTTGAATTTAATAGACTTACTTTGTTATTGCTTTACATGTTAAATTTTTTATAAAAGAGCAGAGAATTGACGAAGAATCTACATTCATAGAAAGCAAAACATATTTTAATACAAACTCTTTTCTAAAATTAATTTTCTTTTCATCCTCATTTTTAGCTGTGGCGCTGTTGGCCCACCAGAGGGTTGCAAATGGGGCGATTATGTGAATAAAGACGCTCCTTTTCAAGAGTGTTGCGCTCGCCACTTGGTCTGCGAAGGTGGCTTGACTGCTGAGACGCGCCATTATGAAAAACACATTTGGGGCATGTTCTCACGCAGTTCGAAAAATGCTGCAAATGAGTAGAACACAATGTCTCGAAGGGACTGTAATGGTTTGAGTTGTATTCATCAAATTAAATGTAATGCTAAAGCAATGAAGTGATTATATATTATTTTTATTGGAATTTATGCTAGTTATATTGATCTAGATAATATAAGATACGTATATTAGTAAATGCTGGTTTTCGAATAAATTTTAATGTATTTTCTTAAATAAATTTAATTTACGAGTTTAAGAATGAATTGGTGTAAGTAATATAGTATAATAATTTCAAAATTGGATTATTAGAACAGCAGATGATTCCGTTGGATATTTCTTTCTCTCTGGAGTTTACAACTCCTTGTTCCGCTTGTCTGTCTGTCTTTGCCTCTCCTATTTCTCTGAAGTTAAGTTCGATAGAAATGTTATGAATCTTGAGATTTTGAGAGCAAGCACAGGTCGAGAGATCATTAAAGACATGCCCCGCTCTAGATGACCTTCAACATCTTCAATTGATAAAAATATTTAAAAAAAAATTAAGGAAATCGTGTGAAAATCTTCAGGCATGTATTAAAGAAATGGCAAGAGAGCTCGACATCTCTCGCGAGCCCGTTCGAATGAGCCTTGCTCAACTCGTCCCGATGAAGCTGAATGTTTTTCAACAAGAGTGCCTCAAACAGGTCTCTTTGGATATGCTTGATCCTGCGAATTTCAATTTCACATTCATTTAGAGCATTATAACTGCCGATGAGATATGGGTTTATGAGTTTTAAATGGAAATAATTCAACAATTCTCGGAATGAAAACCGTTTTAAGTCGATCGAAGAGATAAAAAAAAAAAAAAATTCGCTGAAGGAGCTGAAGGCCATCGCTAAAAGTGCTTATGAAAAGTGTTCGAGGACTACAGAAATCGTGGGCATAAATGTATTATAGGGATGACTTTGAAGGCCACAAAATATGAATGAATAATAAAATGTTTTGGGTTCTATTTAAAATTTCCGGGTACTTTTTGCCAAAATCGATATACTATATACTTATATTCATTAGGTCACCTTAAGCACCAATAATTAATTATCAATTACAGCGTCTATAAATAGTTGCTCATCCTAAACTCATTCAAACATTTACTCCTCTCGCTCATTGCATAGACAATTTCCTCGAGTCTAATTTGTTAAAAACTTGTTAATGATGACAATTAAAAGTGATTATTGAGGTAATTCAAACATTAAATAGCAATGTCATACGCAGCTGGGCACATATTTTATATATACCCGGTTTCTTTAAAATGAACGACGAATCATCGTCGTAACTCAGTCGTTGCAATTGCTTCGAGAAAAGCGTACACGAAGTATACAAAATGCATTCCGGTAAGTTTTGGCTAGGCGCAGGGTTGCTATTACTTGCTGTCGGACAGCTAACAGAGGCCGCGACGTCGCTTGTCTCTTATCACGACGATGGTAGGTAACAAAGAGTGGTGAATTATTGTATATATTTTGTCTACAATTGTATATAAAAAAAAAGGATATAAAAGTAATACTATTTTATATTATCTCTCTCCAACTGAAAATCAGCTCACCCCGGCAAGTGCACGGCCAGTGAGACAGATATCCTCTCACCGGGTGAAACGACGATAACATCGAAGTTTTGTGCGAAAATTACTTGCGAAAATGAAGACGGTCTTGCTCAAATCGCCGGGTAAGTGCAATATATTGGACGATTCATAATATTCTCTTTAAGTTTTGTCGACTATGAGAGACAGGTTTGTGTTAACAACCTATTGAACGGGGAGAGATTTTTCGTTGCCGAAAAGCTGAGAGCCAGCTTAACTGAAATTTTTGTTTCTTTAAGTTTAGGGTCACTATGAAGATTTAGAGTACCGTTATGTAGAAAAAATAATTTCTATAGGTCTATACTTGCTTAGTGAAAACAGACTGTTGCTCTAACTTTCCTAAATACACATTAAGTACATGTAGTATCAAATTCAATCATAACTATTTCTACTCTCTTCTTTAGTTGTATTCCCCAGGCGCCGTTAGGAGGCTGCATATGGGGCCCTCCTTTGAATAAGACGGCGCCATATCCGGAATGTTGTGAACGCATCCAGATTTGTGCTTAGGAAGGACAATGACATCGATATTTGTTTATTCAAATGTAAAGTTTACTTAATAAAGTTATTTTATTTTTCTGGCTTATTGCATTTTACGACTTTCTAATAGAAACTGTATGTTTGGAACTCGGTATTTAAAAAATGGGGTTCTATAGAGTTTTTTATGTGAGTGGTTTAAAGGTCATACAAGTTTTTCTAAGCGATAATTGTGATAATTTCTTCAAACGCGAGAAATTTCTGCTCGGAAAGTGACCTTTTCACTTCTTGGAAGCGTCAGAAAGTCGTACGGTAAGCGGATAATACGGTAGATCACTCACCCATCTTAAGATCCAGCATTCATTATTGAATTATATTCGACCGAATAGACTACGTCCAGCATGTAGTAAAAAAAACAATAGCCGAGCTAAGCGTGTATATGGAGATCGAGAACTGAGAGTGTACACGAAGACTGGAGAGAGTCGAACCGGCGCTTTTCGCAACGCTCGGACCGACGTATAGAACGAATTGACCGATTTTAGGTCGAGATCTTAAATCGAAATCGTAAAAATACAGTTTGTGAAAGAATTGAAGCCGATCGCCCTTTCCAAGCAACATCGCTTCGATCTATGGGTTCTCGAAAAGTTTAGTGAAGATCCGATGTTTTTGTGCCAAATTTAGTACAGCAATGATGCCCATTTCTGACTCAATGAGTATATAAATAAGCAAACTGGCGGCATTTGGGACGAAGAGTAACCTGAGGAGATTCAAGAGCTGCCATTTTATCCAGAAAAAAACACACTTTGGTGTAGTTTGTAGGCCAGTGGTATCATCGATCCATATTTCTTCAAATATGATGCCGGTTAGAACGTAGAAGTCAATGACAACTGTTGTCGCGCCAGGAGAGCCGACCTGAATTTGCATCTCGTGATCTCGGCGACATTTGGTTACAACAAATACTTCCCATACATCGTTTAAATCAATGGATTTATTGAGAGATAAGCCACCATGAACAATGCTCGAGGCTTAACAGAGTGATAACATGTCTTCAGGTCAGGTAGATCCCACATCGGAACCGCTAAAGACGTCGTGCGCAGCGTTGAGGAAACCCGTCGAAAGAACAATTGCTAGACACCAATAGTCCTCCTCACAAGACTTCACATAAGACACGCTTTCAATAACGCAAAATGGCTCAATATGATAGAAGCACTAGAAAGCCGGTTGAAAACCTATACACCTATAGATTGCCAGCTGCTTTAGAATATTAAACGACAAAATGCAGGACGGCAGCCACTTCATTGGTTATGCGAACGATATCGCCGACGTCATAACCGCACGAAATACCGAAATAGCCGGAGGCAAACTAACGCAAACACAGACATGTTTGGTGTAACACGGCCGTGACTTGGCCGCGATCTTGCTCTGAGCTGATCTCGCTTACTAGGAAACACTAGGAAACTAACCAAAGAACAAAATACCTAAGTAACAAGTGGATAACATATTGATGTGCTGAGCTCCAGTTTAGCAAGCTGCGAAATGTCCGCAAATATAACCATGTGGCTATCAAGATTTATGGCACGTACAGATCCACTTGCGCGTAAAAGGAAACTGCTCATGGACACAATGCAGTCAGTGCATACTTTCTGGCCACGGAATAGTCAAGTTAATAAAGAGTGAGCCAACCAACTTGATATCGGCTACAAAGTTGTAGGCATCTCTGAATGCAGGGAGCGCAGAAACTGTTCTGCAATAAGTGCATCCTGGAAAACCTGGCCCGAAGTAATACGAAAGCGGTCCAAGACCAAAGGAATATGTGAGTGTGAGTGCTTTAATGTATAAACGACGATCCTTATATGGTATGAAGGCATATTAAACTCTCTTGACGGTATAAAAAATATTTAATAAGTCAAAAAAGCCACGGTTGAAATTTCACTTTGGAGTCTTGTAAGAACTATCATTAAAAGATATGGCAGGTTCAATTTCTGCTGTTTAAAACTCTACACGTCTCTCTCTCTCTCTTTCTGACTCTGACCATGGGGCTAAGGTCCACGGTTGTGGTTAAAAATCATGAATATTGAGGGTCAGCACTAGGGACAACTATATAGTTGATTACAACTCTATGGATGGTAGAGAAGGTGCAAATTTGGACAGAAAGAATCAACAAAAATTTAAGTGTAAGTTATTTATAATAGCTCTAAAATCTCGTCAGGCCATGTGAGCCATGACTATATGTGACCTGGTCTACGAAAAGAGAGCTAACGTGCGAAAACTAGTTTTCTGGGAAACAGCTGTTAAAAAATAAAAGCATCTCATCTTCCATCCGAATCAACTAAAAAGTGAAAATAGATTTTTTGACACCTAAGCCCCCTTTCCGTAGACCAGGTCACATATATGTATGTATATAATATTTTAACATTTTGCGAGTAGTTAAAATATCTAGTGTATATATTAATTAGGTCACCTTAAGCACAAATAATTATTTATCATTTATATAATCTATAAATAGTAAATCATCCAAAACTCATTCAAAACATTTACCCCTCTCGCTCATTGTGGAAATAATTTGCATGCGCGATCGTCGATCAGAGTTCAGCACCTGTGCAGATGTTCATTAGAGTATGTTACGTTAAAAACTCGTTTACAGTCATGATTAATGCTAATCATTGAGTTAATGTAAACAATGTATAATATTACGTAAATGTATTATATATACATATAAAGCAAGACAGATTCTTTATAGACACCGTTCCTTTAAAATGAGCAACGAATAATCGCCATAGCACAGTCGTTGCATTTGCTTCGAGAAAAGCTTGAACTTAGTAGACAAGATGCATTACGGTATCTGTTGGCTATGTGCAGGGTTGCTATTAATTGCTAGTCTAGAGCTAAACGAGGCCGCACTAGGGCACGTCTTTTATCACAACGATGGTGAGTAAAAAAAATGTGTAGAATTATAAATATAAATTAAATGATATAACAGTAAAATTACTCTTATTGTGATTTCTTTTCCAACTGCCAATTAGCACATCCCGGTAAGTGCACGGTCAGTGAGACAGTTATTCTCTCACCAGGTGAAGTGACGATAACATCGGGAATTTGTGCGCGAATTACTTGTGAAAATGAAGAGGGTCTTGCCGAAATTGCTAGGTGAGTACAAGATATTAGACCACTGATGACAGGGAATGAGATGACAGAGATATCGAAAGAGAGAGAAAGAGTTGCCAGCCATAGTGTTCTTTATGAACAAAGCTACCTGAATTATTTATTTTAGTATTTTAAGAGAGATAGTAAAGTTAAAAGCTACTGCGAAAAAGTAAAGTGCTGTCACGGGCCATACGTAACCTCGCAAAGAGCCGCATCCCTGTAAATTGTCTTAAGGATGTAAATAGAAAGTGGGTCTTCAGCAGTGAAGCTACACTTCTGCTCACCGCAACTGCAATATGGTAGCTTGTTAAGATATCATGCTACTGTCTGGCCTCAAATTATGCGAACTGCATAAGACTGGGATGTAATCCGGTGGACGCGAGGTGAGCCAGAGTTATTTTCATCCCGAAGAATGGTAAGAGCTCCCACTTTAGTTTCATACTTCATGACTATCTGTAACTGATTAAGGTAACGTTACATTTAATGCTGTGGAATACACGTTCTTTAAGAAAAGTGCGATCAGGGTTGGTTATGGAACGCCTGGCCTCGTTATCAATGGCATGATAGGATGTAGCGTAATCACAGGTAGCTGAAAACTGGCTAACAAAGGTTAGCCCTGCTATCGGTAGATAGAGAATGTATCGGTGCTCCATTCTCTTCGTATATTTTGCTGCAGGGTAGCTACGCTTCTAGGCTTCGCGAGAGCTGGGCTACCAATAAAAAGCGATCTTTAGAAACTCTTTGACCTCTTTGTCTGGCCTCTCACTAGTTGTGGGGGTTTTAACGGGCCTTTGCCCAATCGGCATCTACGCTGTAAAGTTGAAAATCTTACCGGATGCTAGCTGCAGAAGCTGTATGGAAAAAGACCGGATGAAACACATCATGGAAGTGTATTTTTGGCTGATGTGAGCCAAATCTTCTTCAAAGTTATAGTGTTCTTTTTAATTGGAGACATCATAGAGTAGATCGTATGTTGTAGAGACTATTTATATCGGTCTATACTTGCTTACTAATAGTGAAAAAATAGTGCTCGAACTTCCTGAACCACATATAGTATATAGTAAACTTCACATTTACTTACCATGCTATTTCTACTCTCTTCTTTAGTTGTGGGTCCCAGGCGCCATTAGAAGGTTGCGAATGGGGCGATCCTAAGGATGAGAAGGCTCCATATCCGGAATGTTGTGAACGCCAACAGATTTGCTTCTAAAAACAAAAGAATAACGATGGCATCAAGTTGATATTCGGTTACTCAAATATAAAGTTTATTTAATAAAGTAACTTTATTTTTATGGTTTATTGCATTTACGACTTTCTAATATAATTTGTGCGTATGCAACTCGATATTTAAATAAAGTGGTTTTGGAGAAAATAAAATCGTGTAGTGTTATTTGAGGGTTTCAAGGGTTATACAAGTTTTTCTAAATTTCAAGAATTGTAAAAGAGAAGTTCGGTTAGACGTTTGTCATGGACTTCGTAGCTTAAGAATATCATCTTACAAGAACGGTGTACCAAATATTTAGAATTTAAAGGACAAATGTGGATATGAAAAAATTGTCGGCTATTCTCCAATTTCATTAACCGGTATGAAAAATTTAAGTTTCGTTAGGATATATGATGGTAACACTCTCAAACGACTAAAATTTCTGCTGTGTGACTAATTCACTTCTGAAACCAAAAATAAGTCTCTCGGAGCCAAAAATGGAGTTACGGTCTATTTGGTCGTGATGACGGCAGAGCTGTGAGGTAATGAGTTTTCATAGTAAAATAAAATATCACATTTTCTTCACCAAAAGAATGGTCATCTTATCTAGGATTAGTTTGACAATAATTGTGTACAATAGAGCCCTATAAGCATTTGGTTCTTCTCCAAGCTTCGATGAAAATCACAGGTTGCGAATTCCGAGTTATGATGGTTATCTCCTTTTCGAGTAATAGGACAGTTTACGTCCTTTCATAGAAGACTTGTTGCTGAAGTCGACTGCTTCTAAAGTTCGTTGGTCTGCGGTTTGTACCAGTGGTTTCGTCTCTCCACGACTCTTACGACTAAAAGTCCTTATTAGAAAGACTTCTGCGTTCATATTATTTTTACAATGAAAGCGACACACTTAGTTTGCGCACTGGGTTACAAAAGTATTTGAAATCTACCGAATCCAGTCGGTGCGCGCTGCTCTGAAGTACAGAAGAAAATTACTTTCCGGACAAGCTTTGTATTCATTACATTGCCCCTTAATAGCAAATAATTAATTATTAATTATAGCATCTAGAGGTTCATTTGCGTCTGTTACGTTAAACACTCATTACCAGTCATGATTAATGCTAATCATTGATTTACAAGATAAGTAAGCTTAAGTTTATTAGTATTATTTGTTTTTAGATTAGTAATAGAGATTGAGACAACGTCAAAACCGGAACGGGAATGACTTTCGTTAATGATTTATTATTTTTTTGTTAAATGTACTCCATAAATAGTAGTGGAATGAAAATATCATTATTCTAAAAAACAAGAGAAACAAACTTGAAGTAACTTTTTTGAGTAAAATTACAACGTGCCTTCCTGCTCCTATTTATTTTTAGATGACTGTGATACAAATGCGTTGTGTTTAAAATCTAGGAGATAGGCAAGGGTCTTCGGTTGTTTTTGGTGAGATCGATGTGCCGATCGAGTGTACCGTTATGTAATAAATACAATTTGTATAGCTTTATACTTGCTTACAGCAGAAGTAGTATAAAAAGTGTGCTGTTCGCACTTTGCTAAGCTCACATTAAGTGCATATACATATGTATTATCAAATTAAAGGTTAACAAATTGAGAATTACAGCATAAGAAGTTATACAGACAAAGTGCAAACTTTGTATTTACTCACCTATACATTCCACTCTCTTACTCTCTTCTTAAGTCGTGGTATCCATAAGCCGTCAGAAGGCTGCGTATGTGGCGATCCTAAAGTTGTGAATGCGCTATACCTGAAATGGGATCATGTTGGTATTTAGTTTTTGAATTGTATCACATGTAAGTTCATTTAATAAAGTAATTTTATTTTTCTGTTTTATTGCATTTGAGACTTTTTATATTTGTGTATGTACATAAAAACATACGGGCTGGGATAAATCAACTAAGCTCGTTACATTGATCATTTATGTTTACACTTTATAAGGCGTTCCACATTTCCTTCTGGGTGCTATTAAATTCGTAATGAACTTAATATACCCGGTTCATTAAATAAAGAAAATAAAACTCATAACTCGTTAGCACACAAATATGGTTTAGTTTCACTAACATTCACGGCTTGTTTTGCAAAATAAAGCTTTTTATGTCGAGTGAAGGAAAATGCTACTCAAACACTTTAACTTTTTTATAAATAAGCTTGATATAAGTAGTTACATTCACCTATCTGTGTGAATTACTATTTACTTTCGTCAGAAATTACTGCTGCTCTTCTCCTGATTTCCGCTTTAATGCAAAGCAGTTTAGTCAAGAGTAGCGATAATCCGAATTTCCGTTAGAAGTCACATCCGGTACAATTTCCTTTACTTTCGGCTGTTTCTTGCTTATTAACACACTCACGCCGTAATCATATATTCGTTTGAGCTTATAAAGCATATTCGAGCAGACTTAAGATTTTTCAACATTTCGACAGAACTGGAGTGCTTTTTCCGAAATATGCAACAACATTCCGATTCGGAAATCGGAAATGGATATCAAACTCAGACAGTGCTTGATTTTTGATGACGAACGTAAGTATTTGATTGAAGGAGTTAGAATTAGTAAAAACACTTTTAACAATACAAACATGAAATCTAAAGCTTATTATATGATCTCCTGAGATTTACCAGATCATAAAGGTGCAGGTTATACTATGGAAGCGACTAAATTCTGCGTAGCAAGTTGTGGTAATCGGCTTCTGTCTTCAGCTGGGATACTTTTTCCTCTTATACAAATGTTGCATAACGGCTTTTCAACCGTCTTGTTGTTATTTCCACAATTTATTTGTTAATACATGTTAATTTCTTTAGCACTTTATACATTATATCACAATCTTGAATTAATAGTACTTCAAATTATAATTCCGCACTATTCACCTTCAAATGTAAACGTCAAAAGTGATAGCAGCTGCGCAACAGCATCAGTGCATTTTCACAGGGTGCATAATGTAAACAATTTTCATTGCTTAATTATTTTTACTTGTGAAATTCTCTATTTATTTCCGTTCCTGTATTTTTCCTATTATTAACATGCCCTGTAATTAAAATGTCACGCAGAATACTTTCTGCTCCGCATTCTTTTGTTTGACAGTGCTTATACATGTTAATCACACCAACAGTTCTTATTAAATTTTCTTTGTGACAAAAAAGTGTGTGTGTGCGTTTTATATATGACCTTAAGCAACTCACTATGTGAAATCAGCACAAAAGAAATTTTAGTAATGCGAACAAACTTCGGAAAGATAAAGAATATTACAGCAACTAAACGGTAAAATTATAATAAACCAACTGTGTTAGTCCTAATTAACGTAGCTTAGGCAAATGCGTATAAAATTGAAAAATGTGTGAAATTGTGTTATTGAATAATACAGTTATTGCTAGAAAAATAATAATTAAAAATAAAAATAAATAAATAAATAAAAAAATTTATACATTCATGTGAACCGCCCTGTTCCTGATCTTTTAAACAACAGCTGATTGCCAATATTAACGAAGTTGTCAAAACGGAAATTAATTTGAACTTTTGCGCTGAGCCATAAATTTTCTTCTTGAAATTAAGAAATATTAAAATATATATAAAAAAAAGTGTAAAAGAAATGTTAAATATTGTGAAAGGAAGTGATATTAAATATGTGCAAGAGTTATTTTGAGTTGTGGACTTAACTATGGAAGTAATATTCATTAAGTGTCAGTGTTATTTTGAGTTCAGAAGTTAATTGTGGAAATTGAAAGCGGAAGCTGCAGCGCTATGCTTACAAACAAGTACTGCTCAGCATTGCCGCGCAAGCATATTTGGGTGTGCTTGTAAAGGAGCTATAACAGGTCCTGGACAATTGGTAATTATAATTTCACACATTTACAGACATATCCATATTGTATTTTTTGTTGTAGAATTATTGTAGGGACAGACTGCTCGATCAAAATTTTCATAATACTGGTGGCGATAGGACTAGAGCTAGTCTAAATAAATATAACACGATATAAGCAATAACAGGCAAGCTACTTACATATAAAAATATGTATATTTTGGCACGCAACATAGTTTTTTGCAAATTATAGGTTAGCTTTGATGTTTTGGTTTAAGAAATTGCATATGTATGTATATTTCAGTGTAGCGTCCGTGAGTGTATGCAGGCTTGTGAATATGTATGGTAGTATATAAGTTTTTTATTTTGCGCTTTTAAAGAAAATGTGCACAAATGTTATTACTTGTATTTTTAATATAATAGCTTAGGCAAACACGTAAAATAATTAGTTATTTTTATTTCTTAATTCTCCATTAATACAAAAAAAATATTATGTAATTGTAACAATTTTTCTTATCCAAAGTGTACAAATGATCACTCACCTACTGATATTTTTGATTAGCAGTTTCAATTAATTAGAGTTTCATAGCTCTGTGTGCATGTGTAATAATCCCATAGTTTCAATACTTTCATAAGTAAATATCTCTACATAGTAGGTGGTACATACACATACACACAAACTTATACTTATAATATTAATTCTCCTTCCCTGCTGTTTGTTCTTATAAATTATGTAAAGCATTTGTTGCTCTCGAACATTTTTTTGTTACATTCCAAGTTTAACAGGTGGCCTTTGTGCAATAACAGATGGTCTACAAACTGTTAACAACGTTTACATTCGGCAATATTAAGAAACTGCTATTTACTGGCGCTCCAACTATGACGTAGGCGATGTTCTTTATAGTTTTTACGTTGCGCCAGAGAATGTTAATAAATTGAGAAGGCGCAAATGTTAAACTACGTGTAAAAGTGGGAAATTTTTTCACTAAATTCCAATGCGGTTACTTCGAGCCTAGTTCAAACAATTCAGGGAGAACTCGAGTTATAATCAGTATATAGATTAAATGATTCAATTGTGTTCTGAGTCATACCAGCGTATATTTAATTTTTTAGGTGAGGGTGTGATGATGTAAGTAAAAACCAATTCATATAAGAGTATAAGATATGAATCCAATATCCGGTTTCTATTGTCCATCTCATTTTCCATTTAGTATATATTCAAGCCGAGAACGAAGGCGCTGAGTATTAATTTAAGTTCGATCAGTTTGAGTTAGAAATTGTTATTTTCAATACTTGTGGAGCTAACGAAATATAAGTGAGAGTTTTTTGAAGTACCATGTCAACATACAACTTTGATTTTTGAGC